GTACAAAAAAAATACCACTCCTCGCTGCCCTCTTCGATGGCGCAGAATGAAAAAGGAAGACACCGCACCAACGACAGAAAAAAAAGAAAACCCTACAACTACTACAGCTGCCCCCGCCCTCACGCTTTGATGTTGCAAGAAAAAAAAAAAGACAGGCACGACAAACGGTGCACCGCAAAAAATCGCCACATCCTCCGTGGCAGCCGTGGCCATGAGGGTCTTGCGGCGTTGTGTCTGGTTGAGCGCACAGTTCACCTTCCGCACATGGCATGGTACGCCCCTGCGTAGAGCTGTTTTCGGGTCTGCAGCGGCACGTGTACCCTATTTCTCTGTGTGGAGTCTGTGTTCTCTGCCCCGTTGTGTGTTTGTGTGTCGCGCGCGCGGGTGAACCGGCACTATCGGGGGTGACAGTGGTGCCGAACCGGCACCAAACCGGGCAATGCCCTCAACAGTGCCGGTCTGGCACTATTGAGGGCTCCGTCTGTGTCCAGAGATTTTACTGGCACTATACCGGGCGCCTGGCACTATTCAACCGGCACTAAACAGGGCCCCCTACTGTACCACACTTCGGCTTAGCAATTTGACGAGGGAAAGGGATGGCTCGAACCCTTTCTCGCGATAAAAATCGAGGGCAAGCATCGCAGGAGGAAGGTGCGGCAGAAAAGAACAAGAAAAAGAAGAAAAAAGCCCCAGTTGTTTGCCCCCTCCTGTGTGACCCCGGTTGGTTCTAGGTGTACAGAAAAATACACTGCAAAGTGTAGTACGCGTCTCACCTTGATCGGGGGGACTGTCGCCAAAATAAATGATAGAAAACAACAACAACTCACCACCCTGAATGTATGAACCGCCGAAAAAGATCAGTGGGCCCCGTTCAATAAAACATCGAAGAACAGTGGAAATCCGGAAAAAACTGCCAAAATCGCGAAAAAACGCAGTACTGGCTCTATTGCTCCGATTGATTACCTATGTACGATACCTACTACACCTGGGTCCAAAGCCATTTGTCACATAGCTGCCCCGATTTTGTTGCAAAACAGGCAAAAATGAGTCGAAATTTGGCCGGAATTGATAAAATCTGGTCGAAATCGGTCGATTTTAGTCATGTTTTGACCCACTAATTCTCAAAGAGCAAGACTCAGATTTTTTTTTTTGATGAATATCACCATATCAAAAGCTTTTCAGCAAACCTAATTGTAGCCCTGTCGGCAACTGCATTGGCGAGATATGATCTGTACGCCATTAGGACCTTTACTTATGGCACAGAGAAAGTATGCAGCCACGGAGAGATTGGTGCTTGGTTTTGACAGCTTTTTCTGGACTTCTTAACTTTGTCAACACCGCGCTCCTTGCAGAACGAAGCTGTTATTATTTCCAAGCGCTTGCGTGTGTTGGAGGTTTTAATATCTGAAAAGGTTTGAACCATTGGTTATTGGGGAGGGGAGGGGGGGTGATCGCTGTGTGTATTTTTGGTTATCACTATCGACTTCACGACACACGGTTCCTGGACACAAGCGGAGTATTTTTCCCAACTGTAGCTCTCAAGAAGGCGCATACTCTAGACGAACAAAGCAAGATTTTTTCTGACTATGGACGTTTTGCCATGTTGCCGCATGTTTGGGAGGCGTTCAACCGCGTATGTCCTGTTAATCCGTTGATTTCCAAAACTTGAACCACGATTGTTTTGGCTTGCTCGCGATGTGCTTCTCTAAGTTGATCTGCGAGACATGATAAGAGAATGGCGAAAACGAACGGTTGGAGCAATTGCTGGCTGGGGACAGAGCGGAGGCACTGCTGATGTAAACGTACCGTGATGGGGGCGCCGACCCGAACGGCTTGTATACCGGGGTCTCGCCGCTTCTGCATGCGGCGAAACTCGGGCGAAAGGACACGCTTTTGACTTTGCTCGGTGCCCTAAGGTGACTACTTTTCTGAAAGCTCAACCCCCGATTCCAGACAACATTTCGATGTGCTGCTGGTATTTCCCCTCCGCTGCCGTATGTTTTGATTCCCAGGTTCCGATGACTACGCTGCACTATGCGCGTTTGCCAGAACAACAAAGGGGACGGGATGGAACACAGATGTCGTCGACATCGACCTATGGAGCAATATCCATGTCGAAGATAATCGCGTGGTGGCAATATATTTTGGTGGAATAAGAGAAGGGAGTGACCTCGCGCCAGGAAAGAAGCTCGACGGTGCGCAAAGCTGGTTTGATCTGATTTTTATTTCCACTGAGGCAAGATAATATTCCTAGAAAGTTTGTTTTATGACGTTGTCTTGAGAGCTGCGTCGCTGGATGATTATCTAATTGCAATCTGAGTTCAGAACTCAGTGGATGACGCGCTGTCACGTGTGGCATGCTCTCACACTTGGCTGCAAACCCTGTCTTTATCCCGCCTGTCGGCTTGTACGGCTTTTTGGAACGGTTGATGCTCTTGTGATTCCCCACTCAAGTGCAGGGGAGAAAAATATGGCAGTCTCGCAGTTGTTTAAAGATATTCGACGGTTCGCTTTTCTTTAACAGGCCGCCTTCCAGAGGAACTGTGGACGCTCAGTATGATCAGCAGAGTGCTGCTGCGCGACACGCAACTGTCAGGTGGCTTCTACAATTCTTTGATCTCAACCAAGGCGTTAGTTAGGACACACCACGATTGCAACAGCAACACAAAATTGTCACGATGCGATCGAGGGCTCCTGAAGTAGTTGAGGAGGAAGGTGCAAAGCTTCAGTTACATGGGTGCATCGCATGAACCATGATCTAAACATCCATAGAGACCCTTTTTTTTATCACCCTTCCGCTCTTACGGAGCAAGAACGTTACGAAACCCCCGTTAGACCCCTTCCGGCGGTGGGCGTCTTTTTCGTTGAACTTGGAAAGCACTGCCATTGATTCTGCTGCTGCTGCTGCTGCTGCTGCTGCTGCTGCTGAATCTTCGGTGTACTTACATTGTCGAGTTGGTTTGGTAGCTTGCTTCATTTCCGGGCAGCATCGTGTACTGCCGCACCATTCTGTCTTGGAGAACCGATGTTTTGAGGCCCTTGTCCGAGTGTCAATCGGGCTTCTGGTACAGTCGTGGTCCCGGTTTAGCGGTTCCCTTTTAAGCGGGATGCCCTGTTTAGCGGTTTCAAAATTCCATGACACCGCTGCACCCCGGTTTAGCGGGTACATAAAACGCTTTCACCGGGTCGTGCCCACAATATCTGTTATTTGAGTTACTTTCAGCAATAGCGGTTATCGTTTCAAATTTCGCGGATACCCCGCGCGCGAGCACACCCACATGCAATACGCACACGCCGCGGGCCGCGCACACACACATCATGCCGTGCGCATGGGTATCATTACAAGCTTCCACGCGTGGAATTGGGTCCAAACGAGGGGCACGGTTGTCATGGTGGCTGTGGCAACCGCGCGCACGGCATTTGTGGGGAGGAGGAGGACCCAGATGGTGGCAACGAGATGTGTGCAACCAAGAAGGCACAGGCTTCGCCAGCACTCTCGAATCCACCCAAGCGCAAAGAGGTAGAGGTGGCGTTTTTTAGCACCAGTCGCGCGGAAGAAAGAAACACCCGCTTTGTCAAGTCGTTGCCATTACTTTGCCCCCCTTTGCCCCCCCCTTTTTTTCCTTTTTTTTTATTGTTTTTTGTTTCGTTTTCGGAGATAGGATTACTACATGTCTTTTATGGTCGTACCAGGACAAATTGTTCAGAACGCGGGGAAAAAAACTGCTCCACGCGCATTTTGTGTACTGCTGCAACATCAAGAAAGCAGGCCGGAGGGGAGAGCAACTAACTTCGTTTGTTGAAATGCACAAAACCATGTTCTCCTGCGTTGTCCACCCTAGGGGGATAATTCTTCGTCTACGTTTCTATGACTGCTGCAATAACACACTCGCACGACCCTGTCAAGACTACGGGAGCTTTTTCCCGGTTTAGCGGTCATTAACCGCTATGAGGTTTCTGGTGTAGCGGTTAATATCCGCTACACTGTGTTTGGTGGTGATGCCCTGTTTAGCGGTTATAACGATCGCGTGACACTATGAACCGGGACCACGAGTGTACCCGGTATTGGTTGAGGATGACTTGCAATATGTCGGCACTGGAGGTGCCGTACGCACCCCGCTAGCTCTAAGAGCGCCCAGAGTAAGCTTCTATCTATTTTTGTACGCTTTTTGTTTGTTGAACTAGCAGGGAAAATCCCAGCAATCACGACCGAGCACGATCTGGATCACCTGCAGGAGCTGGATCTGTCCTATAATCGTCTCCATGGTAAGAGACAAATCACACTAAGTCACCATGAGAACGAGCCTAGCTGTCAACTGGTGGTCGGTTCCACGCGCTCTCTGTATCGAATTCTCCGTGTATTGTTCTGATCAAAGTTTCCGCTGTTCAACTGTTTTATCGCGCAGGAAGCAATCGAGGCATACGACACGCTTGTGAGTTTGAAGTTGGCACTACCACCGTTTTCTTTTGTTTTGTAGTTTTCGGTCGCTAGCGACAAAGCGAGGATGTACATATTCCACGGGGCATGAACAAAAAATTCCCGGCGAAAGCGATGCAGGCAAAATCTTCACGGTCTAGAAGATCGGAACCAAAGATCCATCAGTGAGAAGGGGAACGGGAAGGCCATGAAGAGACCATTATTTTCACAAAAGCTCAGGATGCACATTAGTCAAGGCGAGCATATTTGTCAGGGGGTAAACAACAACAACACCGCAACAAATTCACCCCCAGTACAAGCGAAGCCAATGACGACGCCTTGATTCTCGCTGAGGTGGCAAAGCCGAGCGGGCAGCACTCGGAAACACGAAAGAAGCTGGGTTACTAGACAGTGTCGTATCCCACAAGGTGTGACATGGCACGATCAAGGTGTATTCATCAGGGTAGACCGGCGCCTCCGCGCGCCCCCCCCCCCCCGGAGACAAAATATGTTCTACATCAAACCGTACAATATAATGTGGCTGCCCGTGGAACAGGAGCACTTCCCTGTCTGGGCCTGCTGCCCAGTCTAACTTACGTGAAGATGCACAGGAATGCGCTGACAGGTACGCATATGAAACTTTGCTTCCACTGCTCAAATCTGAGGTTTGTAGGCTCTGCTGACCGGCAAGCAACTCCTCAGTTTGCCTTCAGTGTAGATCCCGTTGAGATGTTTTTTTTTGTATGAATTCCGCCCTTCAGCGGGCGATTTCGTCGTACGCGGCAGTGATGCTGGTCGACGAGCAATGGTCCATGGATTTTGGAATCGGACAGTGCAAACAGCCAACCGAAGGAAGGTTTTGCGTATTACCGTGATGTACAAGTCTTTCGGACACTCATGGAAAATCTACAACCAGCTGTCGTAGGTTTATTACTGTCCCCGCCAACAAGGCGCAAGCCCGGTCGTTCGATGTACATGTTTCAGCGGATTGTAGGTTCCCGTAACGCCTCACTCTGCCTTATCACATATTTTCGAAACCGAACAGGGACTCTGGTCGATGCGAGACTCGAGGAATGCAAGGAACTTCAATTCGTGAACCTAAGCATGAACCACCTAACAGGTATTTATGTGCGATTGAGGAGGTGAGCGCTTCGCCCGCCAGGAGCGGTTTCATACTCCGAGCAATATTTCAATCTTGGGCGATAATAATACGAAAGCAAAACCCATCTTCACGTCCCTTTGGCAGGCTGTATCCCGGCAAGCTTTGCCCGTCTCACGAAGCTGCAATACCTGCACCTCTACAGTAATCAACTGTCAGGTGAGGATCCGTTTGGCGCTTCCATGCGTGGGTGTCATGATTGGGATACTGCCGAAATTACGGTTGTCTGGGTTCTTACTCAGATTTTGCGGGGTCCTTGACACCATGCAATCCGTTTCTACGTTAACTGGCTGCAGCTACGCTCTACGTATCGAACGAGCATTTTTTTTTGTCGGCAGCTAAGTCTGGATGCTCGGTACAAGTAGGTACCCACTCCTGCCGCCTTATCAGGTTTCTCTTGGGAGCAAGGTGGACGACATCGTTTCTACTTTGATGGCTTGCAAATACTGCTCTGTCTAGAAAAAAACTCAAATTCCACCCACCCTTCGTTACGAGGGTGGCTTGAGTTGTGGTGATATTTAATCATTCTTGGAACCTGGAGTCTCGTCTTTACTGAAAAAACATAAGCACTACTTCCGTCTATGCCCTTCCCTCTAACCACTCGCTTTGACACGCACTCCGTAAGACAGGAATCATCCCGGCCGACTTTGTTTACATGGAGTCACTACAGGATTTTCAGATCGGCCACCAAGCAGGTCTCCAACGTAAGTTTTGCGTTTATTGACCACTATAGTAGAAACTCCACACATACACAAAAGAGGCCAGTCAGGCATGCCGCTCAGAAGAAAGGTGAACGAAGTTTTTGCGAGGGGCTGACGGTGGGGGGGGGAGCACATGGTGGGGAGGCATGGGGAGACGGTAGAGACAATACATGGTAGAAATAGAGAAAGAAAGGAATGCAGACAGGAATCCGGAAGAAAACTAAGATCCGGGGGGGAACTGAAAGAAAACGAAAACGAAGAGGGCTCCGCCGAGGGCGCTCGAAGTTGGCGGGAATGGCGAGCAATTCTATTTCTCCTGGGTCTTCCAACGTTTCCTCCCCCGCGTTTCCCTTTCCCCCTCTATCTCGGCGACGGCTTCATCGGCTTCCGGGTTTGCGCGGCCTCGCCATATCTGCTGGCTTTCTCCTCATCCTCGTGCCATGCTGCCATGCACCTTTCGCCCCCCACCTCATACCAAGGCCTCCCCCCGTCTCGTTTCGCGGCTAGTGTCCACATACGGGTGTTGATTCGGAAAGCGGATGATCCTCAGTGGAGCTAGTCGGGGCTCCAAGCGCTTTGAGATTGTCAGTCAGAATGTAACCGGTGCTGCGCCAGTCGGCCCCGACACGGACTCCCCGCCTATGAGTCTCCCGAACGCTAGCCGTTTCGGAAGTCGCCCTTGTGCTCGTCTCGCCAGCGCTCCCGCGAACGAGAGCGGTCGTTGGCGGATGGTTGCCTCACCACTCTGGCCCACTGTGGACTTGCAGGCTTAAGCATACAACAACTGCCGATACATGCCTTGTTCAAGCAATACAGGTACTCCGTCTGGCACGTCCGAAGTGAGCAGGGCTGTCGAAATTTTCGTTCAAAAATACGCCGTACGGGTCAGGGGGTGGGGGGAGCAGGAACCCAACTCACTCGCTGGGCTACTGGGCGGTCCAGGCTTGCACCTCGAGTCGCCTTCGCTTTCGGGCCTTGTACACACGAAGTTTGGGTGCGGATTCGGCAGTAGTGAAGTAAGCAGTGATTCATGGGTCCATATTTTGAACCCCACTATCCAAAAATGCCGACAAAAATCTCCCCACCACACTCCGGCTGCACGCCTCCTCTCCGATTGGTTGCCTCGCGTTCATGCCCAAGAGCTGTGCAGTTCGCCCAAGTTGTGGGAAGGGATTGTTACTTGTTGGCCGGTCAACGCCGCAAGCATAACGGTTTACCGTCCGTGTGTTTTTCTCTGCGAAATGTTTGTGGTTTTCTCGCGAATCAATTTTGGACGATCACAAAGCGGCCTTGGATTGCAGGTGTGAAAGTCTCGTTCATTTTTTCCCGTCATGCCGTGTTTCGCAAACCCCGATGCCAGTACCATCAGGTACGGACTATCCCGGGAATGCGTTCAAGAAGTGGATGGACCGTCGGACTAAGGTATCCATCTCGAACCTTAAGATCGCGCCTCCAACGAAAGCAACGTGGGCTTCTTTGGTCGCAGAAGGTGAGCAAAATAAGGCATTCCGATGCTGGGCACCTGCAGAGCTCATGTCGTAGGAAATGAAGGACTAGAAACCTGTTTGTTTCCCGTTTCTGACTCCGCCAACAAATGTGGAAAGACACCACATGCATTAGTGCGTCCACCACTCAAGCCTATCGAGCCATCCTTTCGGCCTCACACAGCAACTAATTTCACGACAGATTTGACCGCATCGCGAAAAGGCGGACCTGTATGTTGTGTGTAAAGGCAGTCAGTCATGACTGTGAATTTGGCCCATCACGTGTACACCCAGCACCACCGTCCGCGGGGGTCACCGAAGACTCGAGGTTGATTCTCCCTTGTTGACAACCCCGTGTGTGCCGTCAACGAATGCTGAGCAGCCGACGAAACAAAAAAATGATTCATGAGTCAACTACACACACCTTCAGGCAGGTAGAAAAAACGCGATTTTTCTCTACATCACCTGTATTTTTTGTCGTACAAGCGCATTTTTTTCGGCTGAATGCTCGCAGTATATCTTCAAGTCCGGATGTGGTCCGAGATCGCAATGACGGTAGCCAACAACCAGAGGGGGGCGAAGGCTTGCGAGAGCTAAACGCATGCAACGAGAGCGACAAGCGGGATGGGCTGCTTTAATAGCGGCCGTGCTCTCGCAGGAACGTCAGATGTTTTTTGTGTTTGGACTGGCTGTGTTGGAAGATACGTGAAACTGATTGATTTGACCACGCTCTGTTTTGACATGCGAATAGGAGACCAAGGTTCATTCCCACCGAGGGAGGAGCAAAGGCTCCACCGTGAAGGTGCCCTCGTTGGCGCTGATCAGCAGGAAGAAAAGGAAAATGGACCTTCCTCGCTAGAGCTTCAAGACAAACTTGACTTCGACAAGTACGCGGAAGTTCTGGTAGAGCGCTTGCGCGATCCGGACACGTGGCCAGTGAGTCTCGGCATATACGCGCAGTGGGGGGCCGGCAAGGTAAGAAAATAAGAGATCGTGCATGTCCATTGTTTTTGTGTCGTCTGTCACACTTCTTTAGCCTCAATATGGTACGTGGCTCGTGCATGGTTCCAACCACCGAAGTCGCCAAATGACGCACGAACTTACGCGGTGCAAGAATTGGTTGATTATTATTTGCCCAATGGGTGCAGGGGCGGTGGTAGGAGGTTCGGGATACTTGGAAAGAAATGACCACGCCTGACTCACCTCCATGTGGAGATTTCAACTGAGAAGACTGCCCCGCCGTCCGTCAAGAATAGGTCTTTGAGCCAAGTTCATTGCTGCCTTGACCTGTCACATGAGGAACAAAGATGAAGCATCTTCGGGAAAGTTGGAAAGATCCTTCCGATATGGTTGTTATCCCAAACATATCGTATTTTTTCTTCAAGCTTCCGGTCAAAGAGCATCGATCACTTGAGAGCAAACAAGTGAGGTGGGGCTCCACCGCCTCACGAGACCTCGTCCGTCGCGTGCCTCTCTTCCAGTCGTCTCTTCTCAGGCTCATTCTGGAAAGGTTTGAGAGAATCACCAAGGTCTCCGAACCGTCATGTTTCGTGCGATTTCTGCGGTCGAACATATTGGGGTCTGTTTTTCTCGAGGCCTGGGCCGGCCTCCGCGGCTGTTGCGTGGCCAAACTCTGCCCGCCCACTGACGACACGGTGCCAGTGCCGGTGCCGGTGACATGCATTTTGGCGAGCTTCGATGCGTGGCTATTCGCCGACTCGGATGTACTGTGGGCATTCCTGGTCAGCAAGATTTTCGATCAGGTAGAGTGGACCCTCCATGTGGGGATTTTCTCTTCTTTTCCCCCCCAGTGTATGTCACTTCAGGAGGCTGTAGTCTAAAACGGGTGAGGAGGCGAATCTGCAACAGGATCACTCAGACATTCCAAAGCTTTGAAAAGCCAATCAATATGCTTCAAATCACGAGTACGCTGAAAGCGCCTGGTCAATTCCCTCTCGCTGCAAGGAGCAAGATCGTTCCTTCCCTCCTGAACTCCCTTCGACTTCTAGTTGGGAGCTTTCGCACAGTTTGTGAGCAAGAGCAACAGTGGCATGCGCGTGCGTGAGTGCGAAAAGAGCAAACTTTCAACCCAGAAAAGCTCGCGCTCCGGGTCACACTGCTTTGCTCATTTCATGTTCAGCCACCGCTCCCTACGAGTCGGTCCACGCGAAACTGAAAACACGTGCCCACAGCTTGATCATGCCGCTTTTTGGAGGTCGCGCTCGTGTCGCAACTCGATGCCTCTATGTCAAAAGCATTGCTTGAGTGTTCTGCGGAGGCACTACAAATGATATTGAGACTCTCATGAAACACAGTCCTGAAACACAGCAGCTTGGTGTTCTAGCAAAGCACTTCCCTACTGTTTTTGGAGCTGTCACACAGCGAAGAGGCAAAAGCGCGCGCTCGGAGAAAACAGTCTCAGCAGGGCTTTTGTCCCAAGTATACCGGTCATTTTTTTCCCCTCAAGCGCCTCCTGAAATATCGTTTACAACGGTGTAGTTGGCTCTGTCGCGAAAACGGGACGCGTGCCAATGGATATCGGTCCGCGAGTGGCATCAGAAGTCAAGAATCTTTTGATGTTGTGCGTTTCAGCGGGCAACCCCAAAGTTGCAAAATATACTTCTCCAGCTATGGTCTCTAGACTTACTTGCCTTTTACGGATGGGAAAACCACCTCCCCGCCGAGACCGAAGTTCAACACGTATACATTGTTTGAAATATTGTGCGCCCTCTTGAAAGTGAACAAATAAATAATCTGCTCGCGGCATGCCGGTTTTATTGCTGCACAGGGGTCCAAAACCATTCCCGTACCAGGGAGCGCTACGCACTTGACTTGCCCTCCCCGCTCGTCGAGTATTGTGGAAGCGCATAAGACCTCGCTGGACAGGGCTTTTGAAACCATCTCGCAAGTCATGAGGAGCTCGATGTTTTTCGGTCTCCCCGCTTTTCAGCTTTTCTGCACGTTTGAGCTATATGTCGCTTCGGTCCGGTTTACCGCAGGTGGAAGCTCATCCGTGTTTTGGGAAAGGCGCGGTGAGGTCCTTCCGATTGCGAAAGACCAGTTCGGAGATCACGATGGAGCGATTGTGTTTTGCGGCGATGGGGGCTGTCATTGTGGTTGGGCTCGCCGTGGCTCTTGGCTTGATCATCGAAGCAACCGGCGGCCTCGACAACGTGCTGACGAAGGCCCTCGCATTCGTGGGGCTTGCCGGGGTGCCGATCTCGATCGTTCTCTGGACAATTAAGGTGAAAACACAGGACGATATTTGCCCTTTCGGTGGAGGCTGGTTGTGATCAAATCATATCTCCCATCTTCTAGCACCACTTTGGACCATTTAGACTGCAAATTCGGAGACCGGTTTTTGTCATTTCTCCTGTTTTCCTCTGCATCTCCACCGCTGTGTGCTGTTGTACAATTTGACAGGCTTTGCCCGCCGTCTTCCAAGGCCAAGGGGAGGTTATTCTTAACAAGGCGAAATCGATGCACGAGAGTGTGGGCTCGGCGCGCTTGGGCTTTATGGCCGATGTCCAGGAAGAGATTCAGGTACTGGTACTTTTCGTGATGTAAGTAATGGAAGGATATTAAATGCTGATCTTTCGAGTTTTCTTACAATTTTCCACATCCGTCCATCAAATCATGAAGGCTTGCTTCCCGAACGACAATTTGTTTCAGCCTTAATCATGCAATTGGGCGGACTTTGAAACAACCAGCGTGTTTGTACGTTGAATCAATGATGACATGCACCTTCTCTGATGGCATGCACCTTTTCTGGTCCCTGTGGCTGGCTGAAAATCAGATCCTGCTCGACATGATTACGGACCGGAGTACGGAGAAAATGAAGTTCGCGCTCGTCGTCAGCATCGACAACCTCGATCGTTGCCCTCACCGCAACATCGTGAAGGTGCTGGAGGCCGTGCACCTTCTACTAGAACGTGACCAGGTAGGACTTTTACAAAGGGGAACAAGCTTGTGTCACCTTCGCAACCGCACCCACTCATATTTTTCGCAATCGCGAGCACGAATTGCTGTGTAACACATCAGAGCGTTTTTCGTGTTCCCTCCGCAGACGAATGTTGTCGTCATCTTGGCGCTGGACCCGCGTGTGATCATTTCAGCAATCGAGGCGGACTTGGGTCCGGAGGTTCGCAAAGAGGTGAACGCACCTTAGTCCGGCTTAATCGTTCCATGTTATTTTCCAGGCAATTTCACTGTTGACCAAATTATTTTTTGAGACAAGTGTTTGTCGAATAACGCTGTTTCGCAAAAGCGTAGAACTGGAAACGATAGCGGGAGTGCAGTGCAGAGGGCGGTTTTGTATCGCTGTAATGTAAACTCGCGGAAACGGTAACGATTGCGTGGAGCTTTCGATAGATCTTTGAAATTTCTCGGTGACTCTCTGGATTCCTTGCGCTACGCTGCACTGGAGTTGGGTGTTGCGGTGGGGCAGACTTTTGTCATAGGGGCAAGCACAACTCGTGGGAGGAACATAGTTGTTTTGCTTGTATGCCGCACGGGCAACGAGAGTTGCACACGTTTTAGTGGTGGGCGTTTTTGCCGAGCACAATGCAATGCCTGCTCGTGATTTCCGCTCGTCTATTGTGCGCCACGCGTGAGAGCGGCCGCACTCTATTGTTGGCAAAAAAATTAGCTCCAATAGTTTCTACCTGTTCCTTGATTCCCAAACAGTCCCGGATTACCTTCGCGCCCATTTTGCTCTCCCCCTCTTGGTCTATGCATTTTCTGTACAAAAGGTCTCGGGCTCAGAGTACCTGGACAAAATTATCCACGTGCCCTTCTGCGTGCCATTTGGCACCCAAAAGCAACGTTTGACACTAATCGATTCCTGGCTTGGCGTCACAAAGGGCGTCACCAAGTCCGATGGTGAGCTTCGAGGAAACTGGAGGGGTGTGATGCTATTGGTTAAGTTATACGCGCATTTCTGCTCTTTGTTAATCTCGTTGCAGCTGCTACCTGTCCTTGCGAACTTTCAGCTCTGAGTTTGACGAAGGTTGGGGTGCTGCCTGCGAGTCAATACGAAAATCGGCATCGGCATGCGCCTGTGTAGGGCCTGTGTAGGATCCCGAGCTGAAGCTCAAAAATTGAAAATCTTTCATCGTTGGTAGCGATCACCACCCAACACACGACTCCCGTGTGGGCCCGCTTGATCGTAGTCTCAAATCAATACCGAGCGTAGTCTGCTGTTGGGTAGGACCCGAATGAATGATTTGAAGGATTCAAGTGCACGGGATGGTTCGAAGTATTGCTTTTGTCATGACCTGCCGGCCAAGCGTGTTCTATTCGACATGTTGCGAGCGTGCGTATTTCAAACATAATACGAAATGCCTCGTGAAAACGGAACTGCGCGTTCTTGTGGTGCGAAAAATTGCTGTACCGGTAGAGAACGGCTCTAAAACCCTCGAAGGCGGAGATGGGTCTTCGCTGTGTGAGCCATCGTCGGGGAAGCGGCCCGAGATTGGTACCGGCGACGTACGGGCTGCCTCAGAAAGAGCCGCCTTGATGGGCGATGGAAGTGCTGCTGGAGGAGACCCCAGGGGTTCTGCGATTGGTGCTTCTGTCGGTGGTACCTGTTCGATGCCAGAGGAAGTGGGTGGACGTGCTGCCCACCAACGATCAGCGGAGCAGATCGTCAACCCCAACCCTCGGAGCGACTCCAAGACACCTGACCTCGAAGACCAGACTACTCTATCTCGGTCATCGTCAACGGCGGCGACAGACAGCAGGAATTCGCTCAGAAATGTCGCGGGGGACGACCAGGTCGACAGTACAGGTTCATCTCCGTTTCACATCCCAGGAGAAACCGATGAATTTCACATGCTGTGCAAGGAAATCGTGACCACCCCCCGAAAAATGAAGCGGATTTTGAACATGTGAGATGTACGGTAGGATTGCGTATACTCAACGGGAACGTCAGGTCTGTGTAACCAGCTTGTCAAGATTCAGTTGTGGTCGTCCATCTTCTTTGCATTCACCTCTGTTGACCTTTACCAGCTCCCTTATTTGGCCCAGCCAGTTTTCTCAGCAGTCCCCAGCTACGTGGTGCTCAACCTCTACGCAACTATTCAGGCAGTGCCTTCATGTCGCCAATCAGTCTGTTTCAGTACGTAAAATGTGAGAAACTATCCGGACAGGAGTACCTGTATTTTGCGACAGTAAGACAAGCCCAGACAAAAGCCGTCCCAACGTGTCGCCACACCTAAATACCACGCACCACGTGGGTGTGCCTGGTCGGTGTAAACACGGCATGGAACCCTCCGGGATAGTAGGCGGGTGGGGACGACGCCTTGCGGTTCTTTGTAGCCCTCTCCCTTTTGGCCGTTTTGCCTGTATTTCTTTCTACTTTTTGTCTTGTCTTCCGAGTTACTTATTTTGCATTTTGCACAGAAGACCTTTCGTCCTAGGGATCCCGTACGTGTCGTGTGTACTCTATATGTTCTTTCTTTGCGGCGGTTTTTTGCTATGCCGTGTTTTGTGACCACGGGCACTAGATTTTTTGGACAAGAGCTTATGTGAGAAACAACAGCAACGACCACCACGCACCATATGCTCCGCAAGCGTCGTGTACGCGCAGCTGAGCCGTCAGATTGCGTATTGAGGCTGAAGCGTCGTTCGAGCTCATTGCCATCAAAGTCCTGCTGCCCTATTTTGTGCCCGAAAAGCCCCGGATCTTGATACCCCCGTGAGTGTATGTTCCTCTTTTTGTTCGAGTGCCCCTGGAAACAGCGCACATCCCCTCAGGCTCGTTGAAAGATTATGAAGCAGAATCTATTTGGTCGTGGAAGAGACTAGCCACGCCGGCTATTTGAAGGAATGGGTCGTCGCCACTTTGTCCGCATTTTGTTCTGACGATGGACGATGCTTGATCGTTCTGCAGATACGGGATCCAGCGCGCCCTGGCAAAGGAGCAGACATCCGACTTCCGGTCTACCAGCGCACGGAAGCTGCTTCGCTGGGCTGCCCTCTGCGAGTTCTGGTTAGTGATCATTACAAACATTTACTGTTCTTCAAGCGGTACGTGTGTGGGGATGACTCACTTTTATTTTTGTCGGAAAGGAAGTATGCACGCGTTCATGTATGTGAACCTGCGACACACAGATGTATGCCTGTGGGTCTTTTTATTTATTTTTTCTTGTTTGCCGATTGCTTTTCGTGCGTGTTGATTCTTCGGATCCACTTTTATTTTGTTTTTGTGTACCCTGACGGGTACCCTATAGCCTGTGACCACGGAAGTTGATTCGGTAGGATAGACAGTACGGACATTTGAAGGTACTCCGAGGGGATCGGGGAGGTTTTTGATGTGATGACAACAACAACAAGCGGAACATGGGGAGAATGGCTACGCACGTCTTCTCGTTTTCCATTTTGATTTGTTATTGGCGAACGAAAAAAACACGTTAGACATCATGATTTCTGAACTATTGGTTTCTGGTTACAGAGGCAGTGAGATAGATTTAAGAGAGAAGCGGTTTCAGTTCCGAAATGTTCGTCGTGGTAGGTCCGTACGTTGCCCGCCCGTTAGGAGAGACAGGTTCTACGTATTTTGCGACATGCGTACTACAATTTGATGTTGGCACTTTCGTGCACTCTCGGTTTCCGGCCAAAGAGCCAGTGAGATCAATGAAAGAGAGAAGTGATTCAAATCCGGAATGTTCGTCTGCTAGCTTCCGTAAGTTGCCTGCCCATTGAGGGCAAAAGCAGGTATTACTTTTCTTGCGACATGCGTATTACATAAGGGGTGTTTTGATCTCGCACTTACTTACTTGCTCTTTTTTCAGGCCTTTTCGGACAGCTTGTCTAGTCGGGAGCGCCAAGTTGGCAATCGACACTAGGGAGGAGGATCTCGGCGACAAGAGCGCCCCTCTCCAGTTTGTCTACATGGAAAGGACCTCCAAAGTGATGAAAACAATGCTCAACGAAACACAAAAGGTGGACGACGAACCTCGCAGCGGTGGATTCTCCCGCTCTGAAGTCCGGAGGCTCCTGGGCATGGACGAATCGGATCAGGCTTTCCTTCGGGTGTTGCAGGCCACGCCACTCTTGTGTGTCGGAGACTTCATGGAAGGGCAGGATTGCCTGGGGCTCTTGCGCTTCTCTTTCAACCTTAACCCGGCTATGGTGGCCACTGTCGGCGCATGGGTTCGGTCGGAGTTTTCGTAAACGGTAACTGCTCCTTCCGGAAATCGATTTTGTCGTGTCGCCATTGGTCTCGTACGTGACGGCGTTCCCCTTCCACGTGACAAAGTGTTCTGATTCATCGAGCAGCTCACTTTTTTTTTCACACGGAGCCATCATCGGCGATGAAAGATAGGACCAAATTGCAGGGTTATAAGTGCAAGGCTGCACTTTTCTCAGGACATACGTGCAATGAGTTTTCGTGCAGGGATTGTTCTGTGCGGTGAGAGCACGTCGTGTCGGCACTCCACTCATGCCTTGAATTCTCATGCGGCCTTCTGTGGGAGGCGTACCAATTTCGGTCAAGGCTGTAGACGGGATCTGTGCGACGTTCTCAGTGGAGAACGCTTTCGGGGACGGCCTGTTTCTATTCCTTCACGTAACCCCGGCAAAGCGGATGCCACTGCGTACTTCCGTCTGTTCATTTACTCTTCATCTCATTTTCTTACGATATTTTCAACAAAGATGCGGTCCGGTGCGCTCTTGTGTTGCTGCTTCTCCACCATTTGTATTGAAAAACGGTGTGCGTCCCGACCTGGTCCATCCTTGTTGATTTTGTTCTCACTACTGTTGTAGTTCTCGTCCATCTGTAACGAGGTCTTCACTTCCGTCGTCAAAAGTGTAGCACGCCATAAAATCGCATGCATATTTTTGCCAATCTTTTTCACACACCAGGCAGTATATTCCAACCCTAGGGTTGGTTTTCGTCGGTTCGTGTCCCCATGGAAGCCCCCCCGCCGTCCCCGAGTACTTCTATTCACATCGCAACCACCTTCTCCCGCCGGGCAGCGTCTTCGATCTTTGCCATGATGGGACCGATGCCATTCTCCTCCACCAAGTCGGCCAAGAACTTGCACTTGTCCTCCCACTCTTCAACGCTAAAAGTTCGACCGGCGTTCTGCTTGCTCCCGCGTCCCAGCCTAGCTAGACTGTTCTCGTGAGCGGCGGCCTCGCTCCGCTTCTCCTTCCCCACCGGGGTGTACCCATCGAAGATCTCCTTGAGAACAAGCGAGTCCAGATCACTCGTCGGGCTGCCTTTCGTCACACTCTCGTAAAATTTCCTGTCTTTGCACCTGCGTAAAGAGTCCAAAAGGCACTGCTCTCCCTTCTTCCCCTCGCTCCCCGACAAGCTTTTGCTTAGACATGGGTTGTAGCGAAGGGGGGGGTCTTTCTGGCGAGCAGGGCTAGACTCACCCTCAAGGGATGACCGAAACCTTCTTGCTGCTGCGCATCCGCCGCGAGGCGTGCGTGTGGTGGTGGAGTTGGGTCGGCACTGATGGGGTCAGGCGGGAAAATGTAGATGCGCGGGCCTTTCTGGCCGTCGGCGTAGGCAGTGATGCCCATCTCATTTTTGTGCGCGGAGGCAGACACCATCAGAAA